ACGAGGTTGTCTCCTTCCTTGCCTTCCATGAGCGCGGGCTAGGATATCCTGCACACTGGTTCTTGCGCGGGGTCCTCAATGAGTGGGGCCTGGAGCTGCAGCACCTCAATCCGACTGGGGTGCTCCACGTCGCTGGCTTCGTGACCATCTATGAGGCCTTCCTCAGGATAGAGCCACACGTGGACTTCTTCCGGTGGATCTTCACCGGGCGAGCCTTGTCGAAGGGGAAGCCGCCCAGGACCGCGCCGGTTGGGGGCTTCACGTTGCAGAAGAAGCCGAGGCCGCCGGGCTCCTACCCCGTGTACTCCCCCTGTGACTCCAATCGGGGGTGGTATAGGGAGTGGTTCTATATCAGGAACCCAACGGAGGCACCGTTCCCGCCGTTCAGCAGAAGGAGGCCGGAGAGGCGGGAGAACTGATCGTGGGGGCCCTCCAGTCTGTAGAACAAGCTAGAGGTCATCGAGGCAAAGCTCCAAAAGCTGGTGCAGCACGGCCTAGACAGGCTGCGGGTGTTCCACACCTTCTTCCGCCGTCGAGTCACCCCACTGGCAGAGAGGAGGCCGATGTGGAACTACTTGGGCCCAATAGATCTCGACCATGTGTCACCGGAGGAGTTGGCAAAGGACGAGGTCTGGAGTCGGCTCGATCGGGTGTTGCAACTGAGGGCCCAAGACTCCCTCGAAGGAAAGCCCGGACCCCTTCACGCCATGAAGCTGTCCACTCTGGTACGCTCCCCTCTCCTTATTCTGTGTCTTTTTCCCTTTTTGCTCTCCTGTATTTTGATTTCGAGTCGTCCGTTTCGTAGGGACTTGCCGGTTACAAATCCCGGCCGCATCTTCCGAGGGGGCCGGAGGGCACAGCTCGGCAAGCTGTCCTGAAGGAGGCAACAGACGCCAAGAAGAAGAAGAGAGCTGAGAAGGCTCGGAGGAGGCACGAGAAGGAGACGGATATCGCCCGACGGGTGCGGGCCGGCGAAAACCGGAGCGACATGGAGGCGGAGCTCGAGTCGGAGGAGCCCACGGAGATGGGTGGCGACGCGAGCACCTCCGAGGACGACGGAGACCGGGGCGTCGTTGCGACCTTGGTGGAGCGTCGTGCGCCTACGGCCGCGTTCGCCAGCGGTGGGTGGGATGCGGAGAGGCGCGGCGATGTTCTTGCGTCGAGGAAGCGCGCCGCAAGCTCGGACGCCGCTGTCGAGCGAGAGGTGAAGCGGGCGCGGTTGCCGCGCCCTTCGGAGGTGTCATTGGCTTCGCCCCCCGCTGCTCCGAGCGTGGCGGGGCACGCTGGCCGGTCGGAGGAGCGTGCTCGAACCCCGCATCTTTGGGGTCGGCGCGTGCGCGCGCACGCGCCGACCCACAACGGGGAGATGCCCCGTCAGTCGCCCCGGCTAGTGCCCCACGAGCCAGCGGTCGCGCCAACTCACGGGTGAAAGCTCTAGTTTGGTTTTGGTAAATTGATGAAACCCTAAGTGCTAACCTAGTTCATCAAGTGATCATGAGATAGGTAGCACACTTCAAGTAGAGAAGCAAATGAAGATCATAACATGACAATGGTGATAGCATGGAGATGATCAAGGGCTTAAACTTGAAGAGAAGAAAGAGAAAAACAAAAAGCTCAAGGCAAAGGTATAACTTGTAGGAGCTATTTTATTTTGGTGATCAAGACACTTAGAGAGTGTGATCACATTTAGGTTTGATAGCCGTACTATTAAGAGGGGTGAAACTCGTATCGGAATGCGGTTATCAAAGTGCCACTAGATGCTCTAACTCATTGCATATGCATTTAGGATCTAGTGGAGTGCTAACACCCTTGATAATATTTGTGTAAATATGCTACCACATCAGCTCGGCGGGATTCGGCACTTTCGGGAAAATGAAATGTCTATTTTCTATTGCGCCGGATGCAAAATTCTTGGTGGTTGGCACACTTGAGCAAGGGTGAAGAAGTAAGAGTTGAAATAGAGTTGATCGAAATGATGCTGGCGTCGGTCTACTGACCGGACGCTGGGTCACTCAGCGACCGGACGCTGAAAGGCTGCGTTCGGTCGAGCTGTCAGACGGCTCAGTGGCTAGGGTTGAGCACCGGACGCTGGCTGCATCCGGTCAAGGTGGACCGGACGCGTCCGGTCGAAAAAACATGCCTCGGGGAGCTTACTAGAAACGACCGGACGTTGAGGCTTCAGCGTCCGGTCAGTTTTACCGGAGCGTCCGGTCAGCTTCGCAGCCGTTGAAATCTAACGAACAACATTTGAAGCAGGGGACACGTGGCGTGAATCACGTGACCGGACGCTGAGGGCCAGCGTCCGGTCGATCGGACCGGAGCGTCCGGTCACCCCGCGTTGTGCCCAGTGAAGGGGTACAACGGCACTATTTTACTGGGGCTCTATTTATAGCCCCATGGCCGACTCAAGCTCTATCTTTGGCCATTTTCATTGACATAGCAACCTTGTGAGCCTAGCCAAAGTTCTCCCACTTATTTCCATCATAGATTAAACATCTTTGTGAGATTGGGAGAGAATCCAAGTGCATTGCTTGAGTGGTTGTATCTAGAGGCACTTGGTGTTCGTGTTTCGCTGCGGATTTCGCTTGTTACTCTTGGTGGTTGCCGCCACCTAGACGGCTTGGAGCAGCAAGGATCGTTGAGTGGAGGAGGTGATTGTCTCCGACTCCGATCGTGGTGATTGTGAGGGGTTCTTGACCTTTCCCCGGTGGAGCGCCAAAAGGTACTCTAGTAAATTGCTTGTGGCTTGTGTGATCCTCATCTTGTGTTGGTTGTGCGGCACCCTATTGAGGGTTTGGCGAGTGATGCCAATTAGCGCGTGAACCTCCAAGTGAGTGAATCGTCACAATGAGGACTAGCTTGCCGGCAAGCAAGTGAACCTCGGTAAAAATCATTGTGTTCATCATTTGATTCCGAGGTGATTGGTCTACATTGATATTCATTATTGTGATTGATTGGTTCCTACCACTACACGGCAGTATAACCCTCTTGATCACTCTCTTTACTTTACCGCAAACTAGTTGACAAGCTCTTTAGTGTAGCTAGTTGTGAGAGCTTGCATGCTTGGTTGGTGTGGCTCTTTAGTTAGCCTTTGAGAGCATACTAACATAGGGTAGTGTCATTGCTCTTGTGTGAATTGACACTATCTAAACTAGAATTGTGGTAGGTGGCTTGTATTTTTGAGTAGGCTAGCGCAACACTCGTTTCGCCTCATAATTGTCTAACCATTTGGTTAAGTGTTGTTGTAGAAATTTTTATTAGGCTATTCACCCCCTCTAGCCATTAGGACCTTTCAACGGGCCAATCGGGAATCGGCCGGGTTGGCTCCTCCCTCGATCGATGTGAGGGGGCGTGGGTCGCGACCTGTGAGCGGTCCTCGTCCAGTGGGCTCGTTGCCAGCGATGTATTCTTTGTGGGTAATAATAAGAGATGGCGACCTTCTCATCAAGGTGCTATGGAGATTGATTTGGATATAGTGTGTCTATCATTAATACTACTTTTTTCAAAGAAAAATAACATAAAAACTTAAGTCCACGAGTCCAGTTACTGCATTTTGCTGAGTTTGAGGTTTTCAGGCTAACGAATTGATGTAGCTAGTCTCTGTACTGTCCAAACTAGAATAATCTCCCAGCAAGGCTGTTCGTTCATTCTCCGTTAGTCACTTTCCAGAGACTCCATGTACGGTATGAGAAATTAAATATAATGCATTATAATGACACCATTACCGTTTGCTATTTCCGGTTCACACGTGAAATTATATATTATATTACCGTTTGCTATTACCGTTTACTAAATTTAAATGCTCATAAAATATATAATTAAGTCATTTCCTCCTATTTTAAAATCATAAAAATTTTAGGGTGTTACACGTGTGATGATTAAAGTGGCATTCCATTATATATACGTTCTGGATATGCACTAGGTCCCATCAACCGGCTTGTCACGTGTCCAAAAGAGCGTAAACGTGATCGTGACAGAGCACGAAATGTTGCAATGTCTCCTGAACAAAGGGCGTTACTGAATAAGAGACACCGTGAATTGTTTGCAACGAAAAATGCACCAAAAAAATCTGCAAAGATGCTACAAATGACTCAAAAGAAGACTACCCAATCAACAGGTATGATAATAAAATTGATTTCTTTACTGTGATTATATCGTGGTGTCGTAGGATACTTATTATATCAATAAATTTTTAGACGGTCCTATCCTTTAAGCATTAGAGTTCCTAGTGATATTGATGACGGTCCTATCTATAAAGTAGAGTTTGAGCCTGTGACGCCGCGCTCTCCGTGATTGTGTTAATTTTCATAAATTTTGTTTTTTTATTAAATATCACTTTAGCGTTGGTATTTATTTTTTATAGTCTTATTATCTTATCGTGCGATCCGTGTGTTTTAAATATAAAATGTTAGCTATTCCGCATCCACGCACGTGCATGCTAAGTGTCTGAAAACGATCAAGTGCTGCCGTCACATATGCAACTTCCATTGTCGTTCTCCGTTAATTACCCATTTAGTTGAATAAAAAAATTACCCATTTAGTAGGTCTTTTTTAGAAGCTAAAGCTGAAGTGCTCGCTCCATTATGAATTATATGACAATTTTAATATTTATCTATATATAATATATATTTAAGTGTATAGTAAAAGCTATACATCTATAAAATTTAAAATATGTCTTAGAATTTCAAAATGAAGGAGTACCTTTCTTTTGTTTTTTTAAGAAGCCGAAGGGCTTCTAGAAACTGTGCTCAACGTAAACGTGGAGCTACCGAGGCCACATAACACAATCATGCTTTATGAATTATTACGCTATATATTATTCCTTTATTATGCGCTCAACGTCTTCAGATGTGAAAACGATAACACGTGTTTTGTAGACCCCATCACTTGTGATTGATCGGAAAAAAAAAGTTTGGGCTCTCCACCCATTGCTTGCTCCCGCGCGACGCATCAAACCAGTCTGTGCCTGTCCCAGAAGTATCAAGAGGAAAAAGCCGGCCATGTCATCGTTGGCGCCGGAGCCGCACGTGGTGGAGGACTGCCGCGGCGTGCTGCAGCTGATGAGCGACGGCACGGTGCGGCGCAGCGCGGAGCCGGCGGCGCTGTTCCCGGTGGACGTCCCGGACGACGACGACTGCGGCGTGGAGTGGAAGGACGTGACGTGGGACCTGGAGCACGACCTGAACGCGCGGCTGTACCGGCCGCGGCACCTGGGCGCGGCCAACGACGCGCGGATCCCCGTGGTGGCCTACTTCCACGGCGGCGGCTTCTGCATCGGGTCCGCGCGGTGGCCCAACTTCCACGCCTGGTGCCTCCGCCTGTGCTCCGAGCTCCCCGCCGTAGTGCTCTCCTTCGACTACCGCCTGGCGCCCGAGCACCGCCTCCCCGCCGCACAGGAGGACGGCGCCAGGGCCATGACCTGGCTGCGCTCCTCCTCCGCCGAGCCCTGGCTCGCCGACGCGGCCGACTTCGCGCGCGTCTTCGTCGCGGGCGACTCGGCGGGCGGCAACATCGCGCACCACGTCGCCGCCGGGCTCGGAAAGTCCGGCCTCGCCCCCGCCGTCCGGATCCGCGGCTCGCTCCTCCTCGCGCCGGCCTTCGCCGGCGAGGCCCGCACGCGCGCGGAGCTGGAGTGCCCGCGCGACGCGTTCCTCACCACCGAGAAGTGGGACAGGTACGCGCGCCTCTCGCTGCCGGAGGGGGCCACCAGGGACGACCCCGTGATCAGCCCGGCGGGGCCGCGCGCGCCGGGGCTGGAGGCCGTAGAGATGGCGCCCGTGCTGGTGGTCGCCGGCGGGCGCGACATGCTGAGGGACCGGAACGCGCAGTACGCGCGCCGGATGAAGGAGGAGTGGGGCAAGGAGGTGGAGTACGTGGAGATCGCCGGCGTCGACCACGGCTTCTTCCAGACGGACCCGTGGTCGGAGCGCGCCGACGAGCTCGTCCGCATCGTGCGCCGGTTCGTCGTCGAGCACATGGACTCGGAGTAGGACGGGTGGTGAGGGGTGACCTGGCCTGCCGGAGGACCAATCATGGTTGTTTGTTGCCACTTGGATCATGAATAAATGAATGGCTTTGCTTTTCTTCTTTCGTGTTCGTGTCATTTATTTTCTTGATTATGATGTTTGATTATTCTTGGGTGGATGTGGATTTGTTGTTTTTTTTTCTTGATTGATTGATTTTATCACCTTTTACCCACCACTTCGAAATCTGAATGTTCACTCCTTGTCGAAATCATGCTCGCACAAACGTGCATTTTCCTTTCTCAGCGTTCCAGAGTGAGATTTGCATGATATATATATATATATATATATATATATATATATATATATATATATATATATATATATATATATATATATATATATATATATACACGCGCGCGGCGCTATTCTACATCCTACGTGTAGAATATTATTTTACACCGTAAGTCAAAACTAATCTGAAAAAATACTGAGTAGCACTGAACCACGTTCAGTATCAGTCAGCACTACACCAAGACCATAAAATACTGAATAATACTGAAACATGAGTACTTTAGTATAACAGCTCGGTGTAGAATACTATTCTACACGTGTAGAATAGCGTGTGCGCGCGTGTGTATATATATATATATATATATATATATATATATATATATATATATGGGCGATGGGAGCAAGACGATCAGGAGATCCGATCCGATCCACGTAGAGTACTGTTTACTTTAACATTCGCATCAGCAGCCTATTAGACGGAGAGGATACTATTAGCACGAGGGAACAGATACACCGACGGTCCATGTATTTGTTCAAGTGAGTCTTAATAATAATAGGATCAACTTGCTAGCTCATACTCGTACAATTTTAGAAAAAAAATAGAGTAAATTAACATGCTAGTGTAAAAAAAAATGTATAAGCATAGACACATAAATCATAGAAAAAAAAGTGAACTTAGCTCTTAACGAAGAGCTAGTTTATCATTCTGTATTCTTTTTTATTAAAAATATGAAATATTCTATAAGCTAGCTCTTTTAATACGGTTGGAGCTGCCATTAGGTCCATAAGTCCTATGTTGAGCTTCCCAAGTGATTCACGAGAGGTCCAAAACATTCTAGTTACTGTTGATATTCTAATTTGGCATCTCCGTGGCATCCATTGTGTCAATCTAATGCTACCAACTCAATCATTTTGTAACACTACTCGACTGGTGGCCAGATGACGATAAACAGAAGGGAGGGAAATAAACACTATTGTTGAAACACTCCTGCTCTGTCTGGCCCTAGCAGCTCACGATGGGCCACTAATTGGCCGGGCCACTAACGGCACCGAGCAACCCGAGATAGCTGTACGTGCTGAAAAACTCCGGTCATAAAAGAGCAGGAAAAACATTGCTTGTAGCTACATCCATGAACTTTTGTAGGGCCCCAGCCTGATGGCAGACGAAACTATCCAAGGATTCCCACTGATAGGTCCTAGTACCTCTAATATCGTAGATCAGGGGATAAAATTCTTACTTAGATGGGGAAACTGTTCCTGTACCTCGCCCTAGCACAGTTGGGTCCATGGCGAGCAGCAACAGCAATGTGGACGCCGGTGTCGTGGCAGCATAGACGCGGTGGGGCCGATGCAGAGGCTACGGTGAAGTCGGTGACGGAGAGAAACCATGGCGCCGTTGCGGCCCCCGCCATGCGCGCAAGGCACCGGTGGAGAGCGCGCGCCGTCGAGCGGCCTGGCCACAGCACCCTAGCATGAAGCTCGCGTAGGCCCGACGAGCATCGGCTCAGAGTACTTCTCGCGCGCCAACATGGCTGCAGTGCGGTGGAGCGCCGAGGTAGGCCTCTTCCCCTCTTCCCTTTCTCTCTTCTGTCTTTGGATCTTGCTGTGTTCTTCTCGGTTCTTTGCCGATTGGGGATTAGGGTTAGGTTTAGCTGTTCATCTTCCCCGATGGAATTAAGGTTCGGGTTGATGCTTAGGGTTTGAGTTAGGGTTCAAACCCTCTGTCTCTTTGCTTTTTCCCCTTCCCCGGTCGTAGATCTGGCTGGTTAGGGTTTGACCGAACCCACTGTTCATCTTCCCTGCTTACCAATTGCAAGTTTAGGTTAGGGTTCATGTCTGGGTAAATCCGAATCGAGCCCTCTTTCTTCTGTGGTTCTTCCCCTTCTAGGGTTAGGGTTAGGAACCCTCTCCTTCGATCCGAATTGGATCTTTCTCATCTCCTTCTAAATTGCTACTCTCCCTATCTGGATCTACACATTAGATGAACCTGGCTCTGGTACCATTGATAGGTCGTAGTACCTCTAATATCGTAGATCAGGGGATAAAATTCTTACTTAGACGGGGAAACTGTTCCTGTACCTCGCCCTAGCACAGTTGGGTCCATGGCGAGCAGCAACGTGGACGCCGGTGTCGTGGCATCGTAGGTGCGGTGGTGCCGATGTAGAGACGGCGGTGAGGTCGGTGGCGGCTTCCCGTCGCTGGCAGCGCCTTCTCTCTGGATCGGTTCGCATTAGGGAATGGTCGGTGGGCGCCTGGTAGCTCTGGGAAACCTCGTGTCGTGTGCCCCGGCCCCCACCTCTCTTTTATCGTGTCGTGTGCCCCGGCACCCACTATCCAATGGTTGCCTTCCAACTTGTCGGAAGGTTCTTGGAGTCCCTTTGTTTCCACAAATGCCACAAAAAAAACTTGATCAATGACACCATACAAATTTCTCTTGTCATCTTTTGAGACACAGAGGCCGCTCTTCCACGAGTCAAAAGCTAAGGGCTCGTTCGGATGTGCTGGAACAAGCCCAGGAACCGTTCCGTCTGATGAAGCTTATACAATATTAGCTACGTAATCCAGCCGGAAATCTTCCAAAGAGTCATTCCCTTGCACCGAACATGCCCTAAGAGAGATCGATGATGTGGCCTTCGCCGCCGTTCCTATACGCGCCGTCGCCGTTCGTGCACAGCTTTAAAGCTAATTAAGCATCTTTAGATGTATCAGCTTAGGTAATAATAATAATGTCCCCCCCATATGAAGAACTAAAAATTATTAGCTGCATCCTGAATAAAGTGGTCATGCATACGTGATACGTCCCTCGATCATCCAAGCCAGGATACATTCTTCACACTGCTCGAGTACGGAGTATATCGTCGGCTGGAACCACAACAAGTTGCATGCGCTCGAAAACAAAAACAACATGCCATGCGTCTCAGGTGCTGGAATTTTTATTTATTCAGCTTGTTCGCTTTTGGTTTCAGCCAGAGCTTATCAGTCAGTTAATGGTGTTTTTCTCTCACAACAAACCAGCACCAACTGGACTTATCAGCGCAGAATCCAACCAACGGACGAGACGATTATTAGTTGCTGCCGCCGTCCCGCGTCGATCGATCGAGCGCAAAAGATAACAATAATTAATATAAGCTGATGCTTGTGCCTCAGCCCTGTGCAGTCCACTCCGTGTTGTCTGTGTGCACGATAAACATTTCTATTTGTATTTGTATAACATTGGTCTCAGCTGGAACCTGGATATCATCGCCTCTGCTTTCATTCCATGAATGAAAGAGGAAAGAGATGAAAATGAGAGGGCAACGGTATCGTGCATGTGAATGACTTCGCCACTTTGGGCAGTTCTCGACGGCTCGATCAAGACTCGATCGGGAGCAAGCTGCATGCACGTCGGCGCAGGCACGGTTTCATGAATTCTCAGTCAGCAAAAACTAGAGTTGGCTACGGCACCGAACTGCAAGCTAGCCTTCACACCGTGTCGCTCCTCGATCTTCTTCCTCTCGTCTGCTGCGACTGCGAATCCCATTTCTTTACTTGCACTCGCGTTCACACGCTACCGGACGCGACGCGGCTGAGCTGCTCTGCTCTTTTCCCGCGTCGCGCCGGGCGCGGGACACTATATAATACGTCCCGGCGCCTCGGTTATGCCAGCGTTCCATCAGATCATCCAAAACGCCGCCGTCCTACGCAGCTCTGACTGAGAATCCCCGCCGGCGCCGGCCGGCCTCCCTCGCTGCCTCTCCTCCTCCTCGAGAATCTCACGCGCGAGAGCTAAGAGATGACGTGGCCTACGCCGCCGTTCCTGTACGCGCCGTCGCCGTTGGTGGCGGGGGCGTCGGCGGCGGGCGCCGTCGTGATGGCATTCCTGGCCATCTCCGAGTTCCGCGGCGACAACCTGACCTACTCCAAGTTCTGGCGCTGCCGCGGCGGTGGCGGCCAGGGACGGGAGACGCAGCAGCAGCAGCAGCGGCCCGCCGACTCGGGATGCTGCTGCTCGTCGCCGCGCTCGCGTCCTTCGCCGTGCCGGGCGCCGTCCACGGCGTGCATGCGCACCTCCTCAGCGCCGCCATGGCCGTCCACTTCCTCAAACGCGTCCTCGAGGTACGTAAAAAAACAAATTCCACGTGTACTTTATACCGCTCTATGAACGGTTTAATTCTCGTGGAAATAGTCCTGACACGTTCTATCTCGAATCTCGATCAGGTGCTTTTCGTCCACAGGTACAGCGGGAGCATGCCGCTGGCGACGTCCCTGCTAATCGCCGGCTGCTACCTGTTCAACGGGGGCGCCATGATCTACGTGCAGCACCTCAGCCGGGGCCTCCCAGAGCCCTCCATGGACCTGCTCTACCCCGGCGTGCTCGCCTTCGCCGTCGGCCTCGCCGGCAACTTTTACCACCACCACCTCCTCTCGCACCTGAGAGCCGACAGCGGCGGCGACGGCGACGACAAGAAGGGGTACAAGATCCCTACAGGCGGCCTGTTCGGGCTCGTCACCTGCCCGCACTACCTCTTCGAGATCCTCGCCTTCTTCGGGTTCGCCATGATCGCGCAGACGCTCTACGCGCTCACCGTGGCCGTGGGCACGGAGGCGTACCTCGCTGGCCGGAGCTACGCCACCAGGAGGTGGTACGATTCCAAGTTCGACGAGTTCCCGTCCAGGATCAAATTAAGCGCTTGTGCCCTATGTCTGGTAGTGTGTAGACTCGTAGCGAGTTGCAACTTGCAACCAGACTTTTGCCTGTATGTATTCTTTGTGTGTAATAATAAGAGATGGCGACCTTCTCATCAAGGTGCTATGGAGATTGATTTGGATATAGTGTGTCTATCATTAATACTACTTTTTTCAAAGAAAAATAACATAAAAACTTAACTCCACGAGTCCAGTTACTGAATTTTGCTGAGTTTGAGGTTTTCAGGCTAACGAATTGATGGAGCTAGTCTCTGTACTGTCCAAACTAGAATAATCTCCCAGCAAGGCTGTTCGTTCATTCTCCGTTAATCACTTTCCAGAGACTCCATGTACGGTATGAGAAATTAAATATAATGCATTATAATGACACCATTACCGTTTGCTGAGCCCGTTCGGCTGGCTTTAAGCCGGCTAGTTGGTTCTCGCCCTTACGAAATCACTGTTTATGTTCTGTCATAACAGTATTTTTCTCTTGCACCAATTAGTTGGAATAGTATTTTTCAGTGCTGCCGAACAGGCCGCTATTTCCGGTTCACACGTGAAATTATATATTATATTAGCTCTATATTAGCGCGCACAGGCGCGGCAGTAGCGTGCCGGCAGGCGGGCAGGTCCGTACGTCCGGGCACCAGTCTTTCCCCTGCAATACTCTTCTTCCATCCATTGCTAGGCTACACTGCCACAGGCTAGTAGCATGATTTGGAGACCTTGGTCTGACGCTGACATACTGCTGCCTGCTCCTAATCACTCCTGTATGCAATAATCAAGCTTGGGGTACACCGAGTTGAATGACTGTACGCCACGAAGCAACCACACAAAGTGTGCGTTTTTTCTTCGAGGCTGCTGCTCTGTTCTATTTGCAGTGGCTTCTTCAGCGACAGATAATAGCTAGTCAGCTAGCTGACGGATTCTGTTTGGATTCAGCCAATAAACCAGCTAGCCCATTACCAATCATCCACCTATAAAAAATAACAATTCATAATAAATAGCTAAAAACGCAGATAATAGCGAGCTGTCAAAATTGGCCGGAAGCAAATACTTTTGCTGGTGTGCTTTAATGTGGTCAAGCTCCGTATGTCCTTTGAAGTTTGAACCACATTTTATTTTGCAATGCAATACGCACGAGAGCTGAAGCATCTTTAACGCAGTTTCTTGTGGATCTGATCCCTCCTACACTAGACTGTAGCAGCAATCAGCCTGTTCGGGAGGCCGTATCGTATCGTGGATTATTTACTGCTGGTTGGTTTGGTGTGAGAGAAAAACACTGTTCCCAGCTGAAAATTTACGATCATTTACGAGCAAGCGAACAGGCTGATAATGTTTTTAAAGTCGTTTCTCTCTCTCCTCATAGAACTATGAACATGAAGCAGAAAGAAGCCACAGTTTACGGCTCATCTGATACTGTAGCGCGGAGTCGGTCGCTAAGTGCATGTACACGTGTGTCTGCAAGGGTCGTCTCCGTGGGATGATTTTTAGCCTCTTCGTCGGTTGGTTTCTAGCGGCCTGTTCGCTTGCTCGTAAACAATCGTAAATTTTTAGTTGGGAATAGTGTTTTTCTCTCATACCAAACTAGCCAGCAGTAAATAATCCACGATACGATACGGCCTTCCGAACAGGCTGTAGGTTGATAAGTTTGACCGGTACTGATTTGTTATGAGAGAAAAATACTGTTGGCTGACTAATAAGTCCTGGCTGAAACCAACAAACAAAATTTTTAGATTTTAGCTACGGTAGTACTTTCGTTTGTATTTGGCAATTAGTGTCTAATTAGTCGAAAGTTTCGTCTCGTGATTTCTCACCTAACTATGCAATTAGTTTTTTTTCGTCTATATTTAGTACTCCATGCATATGCCGTAAGATTTGATACGATGAATTCTACGCAAAATTTTTTGGAAACTAAACACGCCCTTGGTGTGAGAGGAAATCCTGAAACCAACGAGCCAACGACGAGAAGCGTCCCGACAAGCAAACCGGCCCGGCCCCCAAGTCCCAACGACTCCGGGCCTCCGGCCCCATCACCGAGCCCCACCGCGCTCTGGCTCAGACGCTGCGCGGCGCCGGGGAGGCGGCGCCGTCCCCGCCATGCACGAACCGCCGTAGGACGCGGACCAGCTCGCCCGCCGCCTCGCCGTCCGGCTCGAAGATGGCGAACCCGTGTCCCGCCCCCGGGAACTCGACGAGGTCGACGCGCCTGTTATTGTTCCCCGCGGCGGCCGCCTGCACCCGCGCCACGTACTCCCTGACGCGGTCGATCAGCATGTCGCGGTCCCCGGCCGCCACGAGCATCGCCGGGAGCTCGCCGGGGGCGGGGCCGCCCGGACCGCCCGCTGCCTCCTCCGGCCCGAACGGGTTCGCGGCCGGGTGATCCCTCGTCGCCCCCGCCGGCAGCGCCAGGCGCCACATCTGGTCGTACAGCGGGAGCGTCAGGAACACGTCGCCAGGGCAGGTGGCCTCGGACGCCGTCCGCCGCTCGCCGCCGAAGTAGGGCCACAGCAGCACGCACCCGGCCAGGCTTAGGCGCCGTCCCGACGCGGCGCCGGCGCGGGCGGCGGCGTGGTGCGCCATGTTGGCGCCCGCCGAGTCGCCCGACACGAACACGCGGCCCAGGTCCGCCGCGTCGGCCAGCCACGGATCGGTCTGGCCGCCGAGCCAGGAGAGGAGGGTGTCCGCGTCCTCGACCGCCGCGGGGAGGCGGTGCTCCGGGGCCAGGCGGTAGTCGGCGGAGAGCACGACGGCGGGGAGCGAGGCGGCGAGGCGGAGGCACACTGCGTGGAACTCCGGCGAGGCGAAGCTGCCGATGATGAAGCCGCCGCCGTGGAAGTAGACCAGCACCGGGAGCTTCGTCTCGGCGCCGCAGTCCCCCGCTCCGCCGGCGGACGGCACGTACATGCGCAGGCTCAGGTTGCGGGCCTCGTCGTAGACGACGTCCTTCCATCGGACTGCGTCTGGTGCGTCATCGGGCGGCGGCGCGTCGTTAGGGAGGACGAGCGTGGCCGGAGCGCGCTTGACGGTGCCGTCGCTCAGGAGCTGGACGAGCCCGAGGCAGTCCTCCACGACGTGCGGAGGAGGAACTTCGCCGGAGACACCGGGCGCCCGCGGCGAGGTGGTGGACGACATGGCAATGTGGAGGAAATGCGGCGTGCTACGGCAGCATGGCGTGGTTGGTGTTTGGCGTGCGGTTATATTGCTTCAGCTGGCGACTTTGCTGGACTTACTAGTCCTCACTCCTGACAGCATGTATATGTCTGGCAAATTAGCAGTAACGACATACCATATTATTGCAAATAATAAGGCAACATTTGGATTCACTAGTCGTAGTATACATTTAGCTAGCAAATACTACTAAATATTAGCTAGCTAATTATTAGCTGAGGTTGTTCGGATCCACCACTGAGCACCACCAATAGAGGTGGACAGGTGGTTGGGTAATTGTTATGAGGTGCAAATGAGCTATGAATATTTAGGCCCTTTTGTATCACCATCTGGATTATTAGAATCTAGATTATGCATTTGATTGTAATAATCTAGATTATATATTACAATAATCTAGGTTATTTTGGGTCCTTCGATTGTAGGTGATGGATTACTGTAAGTCCAACGGCTAAATTCCTATTATACCCATGACTTCGGCGCTCATCCTTGTTGCTGGACGTTTTCCCTGTGTGCGCTTGGCTGCTTAGTGGCGGTAGTTGCCTTGTTTTGGGCATCGGAGCTGAGGTTGATGCCTTTCGTTCCACAGTTTGGTAGCCTGCGCCAGGCTCGGTCTGGCTAGCTGCTAGATGCAGGTCCAACTTAGCCTGGATGCGTGGATGTAGGCTTAGATTTGGTTGGCTGGCCCAAGCTGCGCTTGACTGGGGCTCATTCCGTGTTTGGTTCGCTGCAGGCCATCTTTTGTTGCATCCAAAGGTGCATGTGAGTTTGTTTGGTTGTTCGTTTCGGTGGAGCTGCTACGATCGTTTTCTTGGTTGTGCTGAACAGCTGAAGTTACCCTCACCTGCGAGTTCTAAAAATCGACTAAGTTTGGGACAATCATAGCAATTTTTTACGAGTGTCATAAACACATAATCTTAGACATAAATAAAATCAACAATTGAAACAATCCAAGACCTAGTTAATGACAACAACAATATTTCTACTAGTTAATTGACACACAAATAGTTCTAGCACATATCAAATTACATGCTACTTCAGCATGCATATCAGAACAACAATGACAATGAACTGGACTAGGATCACAAGATTTTTTTATTGGCACCCCTGTTGTAGCCATCATCTGTCTAACCTCGTCAATGGCACCGTAATTCAAATTTCTTTATATAGAAGATTTTAAGCAACGATTGTGTCATCTTCTTTTTCAAATTTCTTTTTTTATATTTATGATCCAAGAAATTACTAGTCCGTCCTTTTGATGTTTCAAGCTGTATTATGTTTCATTAGGACAATCATTTTGATAAAAAAATTCTTTATATAGAAGATTTTCAATGTGTAATTTATGTGATTAGATTAGATTAGATTATATAAAAAATACTTAGCTATGTAAGATTTTGTAACACATAAAAGATAGTATACTTGTAGAGTAACTGTGAGTCAAACGGTTGACTAATGATTACAGGAGATGAGTCCATCGAATGAGCATATTATAAAATATATTTTATAGTAGATGATTAGAACTAACAATTTGTTCGATCATAAATATAGGTTCATAAATCGGGGGTCTCTCATGGACTGGCTTCCTAGCAAAGGCTCGGCCCAGCAGACGATGTTGCAAACGACGCGCAACTCCTGGGCCGACCCAAGAAACCTAACGACAGGCCAAAAAGACGATCCAATCGCCGACCGGAAGGCCTCGCTAAGGAGGAACAACGCTCGCTTCTAACTCCAGCCCGCCTCTCCGACCGGAAGGCCTGGCCAAGGAAGAACAACACTCGCTTCCGACTCCGACCCGCCTCTGCGACCGGGGATGCACCGAACCCTTGCTTACAGCTCTTCTCTGACTAGCGCAGTCGGAGCCGACTGGGACCAACCGACCGGGGACGCCTGCTCGGTAAAGACCAGGAAAGGGACGGAGCAAGTAAGGCAGGGCACCCAAGTCAACCGTAATACCGAGGACTGTATCCTGCACACCTGCAGGACAGTAACCGACAGGACAGATCAGAAGGGTGCCCTGCAACCTTCCAGGCATGCCAGAACCCAAGCAGTGTTGTGGGCGCCGACATTTACCCTACAGTGTTGTGGGCGCCATCAACTCCCATATAAAACAAACGCAGCAAGGCTCCCCCACATGCCTCTGGGCATCAACAGTGTTGTGGGCGTCGTCATACATGGTGAATACGGTAAAACCTTCCACATGCGTCTGACAACAACAGTGTTATGGGCGCCTACCATCATCTTGTACCTGATGGCGTGGGCAATAAGACTTAGTAGCACACGTACTCTCTCTCTCTCTCTCGTTTGTAAGGCCGTCCCCTTCATCTATAAAAGGGGATGCGCTCTCTCCCAACAGGGGGATCCCAGAGTTCACTCACACACAACAGCAGAACCACTAGGTTCAAACCTCGAGCACACTCTCAAACACTCAGCGCACGTAGGAGCTCCCGTCACTCTCGGCCCTTAGACCAGAGTCCGACCGGGCCTCTTGCACCCCCCATCTTTCTCCCTCCGTTTGTAACCCCACATCAAACTTCGAGCACCTGGGCTCAGGAATAAAGTCACCGACCGACTCAAACTAGATGTAGGGCACGTTGCCTGAACCAGTATAAACCCTGTGTCATTGAGTGCTAGGCCACATCTGATCACAACGTACAGCAAAACTACAAATATTTACGTGTTGGTCACTTTCTGCACCGACAGTTGGCGTCGTCCGTGGGGAAGACGCTATACGTTCACACTTTTGGTCATCGGATGGCTCACTTTTCTGCCATCTTTGCCATGGCGGGCTCAAGCGATACGACTCGCTTCGGCTCGCTGGAGTTTTCCGCACTCCCACCTGTTGGGATGTGGGTTCCACCCATCTTCGAGCCGTCCCAGGCCTTCCTCTTCGGAAGCCTGGACTTCATCACCAACTAGCTCGGCGTACTACACCTCCGCGAGGAGGCACTCGTTCCAGCACCCTTCGGAGGGGCGCCCTCCATCGGCTCTGGGACACACGACGACTTCAACGATGAGGCGCCTGCGCTTCATTCCGAGCAAACGCTCTACTCAAACCCTGCTGTGAGTAATGTACATGCTTTTATTTATTCGCTATTTACTATCTTCTGTCGATTCTCCGGAGGGACCCCGCTGTCCCTACCGCAATCGCCATTCGATAGGTCCCCCTACGGCCTCGCGTCCCCCGCGAACGCGTACACCTGGGGGTTCCGAAAGATGCTGACGCCGCCTCCTCTCACATCCGAATTCGTGGGGATGGCGAGCTACGCTCCCACCTGTTTCTACGAACTCGTAGATGATGAGGTTGAGAGTGACGGCTCCAGCATCGGCGACGTGGCACTTAGCCACCGTCCGTCTCGGGAGTGCGCTATGGCGGACTCTCCAGGACAGTCGCCGGTGGTAGCAGAGTCCCTGCAGACTCACACCCCTCTGGACTCTCGTGCGGGGGCCCTCGCACTCGCACAAGAGCACGCCGAGGATCTACAACAACACTGGCAGTACCAGCTGCCACATGCTCCGGCATGCTCGGTGCAGCACGTTGCGCCCCATGCACGTAACCTGGCGAGCGCTGCCCGGGGTCGTGCCCACCAGGTCCTGCGTTACATCATGGACGAGGGGAACGACCCCCCATAGTTCGCTCGGGCTAGCCAAAACATCGCCGCTGCGGCAATGCTTCAGCACGGCGTTCCCGAGCCCGTCGACCCCTAGGAGCGGGCAGTCCACCGGAACCTCCGGGCGCTGGTGGAAGCTGCCGCCGTGCAACAGGCGGAAAGCTCCACATCGCGACTCTGATTCGCGGCCTCTCTCCCCACCAGGGGAGTGGGGACGCACCAAACGGATCGCTCCATCCGCTCACCACTACAGCCGCCAAGCGCGGCACATGAGGCCACAGCTGCGCCACGGTCCGACCTAGCACCGGTACGCGAACAGCTCGGTACGAACCAAGACGCTCGCAGCGTCATCAGCAACCGTCATCAGGCTCGATGTGATGATGACGTCCATCGGGTGGCGGTGAGGGCAGGCGATACGAGCCCCGGCCAGACCATCGAGGGGAGTGGTGAAACACGCCCTAGGCATGATCACCGCCTAGACGACTAGAGTCCCAGCCCGGATGGCCCAGGACCACGGGCCTTTGGCCAACGCATCCAGAGAGTGCCGTTCTCATAGCGCTTTGGACCGCCCACCAACATCGCCAATTACACCAGTGAGACAAACCCCAGTATATGGCTCGAGGATTTCTGGCTCACCTGCCGAGCCAGAGGGGTGGATGATGACCTTTTCATCATTCAATATCTCCCCATCTGTGTGGGGGAACATGTTCGGGCATGGCTTGAATTCCTCCCACACGACAGCATCCGCGACTGGGAGGACCTCAAGAGGATCTTTGTCAGAAATTTCCAGGGGACGTATGTCTGCCCTGGTAATTCCTGGGACCTCAAGAGCTGCCAGCAGGAGCTCAGCGAGTCCCTACAGGATTACATCCATAGGTTCTCCCATTGATGCAACTCCCTCCCTGATGTCGTCAACGCGGACGTCATCAGCGCATTCCTCTCCAGGACAACCTGCGAGTCTCTGATCCACAAGCTTGGCTGCCTGAAGCCCCGTACCACCCGTGACCTGCTCGACGTCGCCATGAACTACGCCTTCGGCGAGGAGGCGGTCGGAGCGGTCTTCCACGGAGGCTAGGACAAAGGCAAGGCCAAGCGTGAGGACCAAGACGAGGGCCCCTTCGCGTAGAGGGGCAAGAAGAATAAAAAGGATCGACGCCGACCGGCCAACACCTCGTTGGTCACCGCGGCTGATCACGCGGGCAAGCAGCCCCGGCAGGGCCTGCCTGACCACTTCAATAAGCTCATGGATAGCCCATGCACCAACCACGCCTACCCCGTCAAACACCTCTACAAAGACTACGAGCTCCTCAAATGTTTCCTGCGATAGGCCGACGGGCCGAAAGAAGGAGATGGCAAAGA